CATGGCTGTAACAGCGCCGCGTGAGACCTCGTGCTACAGTTCGGACTCGATTTGTGTCACGGTTCTTAATCTGAACCAAAGAGTCCAAATCTGGCAAATCGTTTTGAGAAACAAATTTTTGAAAAGTAGTGCCAAACATGGACTGCTTTGCAGATACAGAGTCGCCACCTAAATATTTTTTAAATGGGGAAATTTAGGAAACCCTGACTCGGGCCGAAGGCACATGTCCGTCATCACCGGAGTTGTCTCGGCTCGGGAGCTTGGGTACGTATCGGGGAAGGTCAGCTATGAGCACCCCTTTCGCCCGGTGAAGCAGGGGCCAGGAGCTCTCTAGTCCTCCATGCTGTGGCATATCGGGCGAGCTGTGCACCCCGGACCGGGAAAGCGGCTGGGTACTCAATCCCCTCCGGTGGGCAGGTCTGATCATGACCAAACTGACGCAGGAACCGGAACGGAAAATAGAATACGCAGTGGGTTAGACCAACCAATTGGATCCCAATTAGCCGGGACATACTATAGCTCATTGCCGGGAGGTTGAGCCAAGGACAACGCCAAGCAATGCCGTCTGCGGACAAATTGCACATCCAATCAAACCACCACCTTTCGTCAAGAGCATTGACTAGGCGCTGCCGAAAGAAGTAGCCTCGAGCTGAATAGGCCGGGCAAGAGTCCACAACCTGCAACTTGTCCATTAACCATACCTGGGGAGGGATGGAAAATGAGAGAATAAAGAACAGAGAGATGTACGATGAGAGGAAAAGTAAGACAGGGGTTTTGTGAGAAAAAACTGAGCCTGAGGGTTGAGTGATGTGAGCAAATATATGTGAGGCCGGGTGGGAAACATTACCTGCAGCAGCAGTGGACTCCCAGCAAACCTAGTCGCCTCCCGGCGATAGACAGAATCTAAACCCATCAATGTCTCGGCCAAGGTCATGGCAATACAGCTCTTTCCTTCTCTCAAGCCTTGGGCGACTTCAATCAGGCGAATGCTAGCTCCGCCGAAACCCGAGGAAAGCAGAAAGTGAGACAACAAACACAAGCAGAGGGCGTGTTGCCGAAAACCCTGCCAATAATGGTTGCTGCGGTCACCGGCGTCGGAAAAACGATGGATCAAGCCGAGGATGTCCAGTTCCCCACTGCAGATCAGAGATCGAGCATCATGCGCCGTGAGCCCGCATATCCGCCCTAAAGCCTGGGCATGGCCAAAACGGAGTTGGGGCAAGATCACTTCAGAGCATTTAGACTCCATCAAAACCTGAAAATCTTCGAAAGTGGGACATACCTCTTGGCCGTCGAAGCTAAAAACGTGCGTCACTGGGTTCCAGAACCTTGCCGCGGCATGAAGAAAAGGGAAATGTAACGGAGTACGGCTCAGCGTGAATAGTGCGTTCAGACCAAAACCCCGGAAGTTCAGCTTTTCCGAGCCATCTAGAGAAGAGATCCAAGATGTAAGATTTTCTGCGAGAAACGCCTCCATCTTTGTCTAAAACTAAGATGAAATGAATGTTCCCGACGTTGAGGCTTTTATAGAAGGAAAAACACTATTCACGGGGACACGTGTCAAAAACTAGGTGGCTGCAGAAATAAGTGGCCGGCCGGCCACCTTTTCTGGCTGGCCAGCCATTCTCTTTTTCAAAAATGGCCGGCCAGCTGTCTCTCTCCATAAAATTGGCCGGCCGGCTCCCAAAGATGGCCGGCAATGCTGCAGTGTATCCCCTTGACCCTGTTTTACTCTTCGAGGGAAAGTTTCAAGAACTTCCACGCAACGGAAGAGTCAAAGGCCTTCATCTCCCTCCGTTTCGGACGCGTTCCGGTGCCCAGATCGTCCGAAGTACACTCTGTTATTGCTGAGTTTTGTTTATCGAGTTGTTGTTTTGATTATCGAGTTGTTGTCTTGCTTATCGAGTTGTTTGTCGAGCGGACGTGTTTCGTGTTTTCGAGTCATTGCTCTCTGTTTGAACGATCTTTGTTTAAATCTTGTTTATTTACGTTGTCAGCACTGTTGTTTTTGCTTATCGAGTTGTAAACTTCCTAAGGTTCTGTTATATCTTAGTAAGTTGAGTTGCTAATTTGTTGCGTCGGTTCACTACCTGACTTGGTGATTACACAATGCACATTTCCATTCAATCTCATTTTTGTGCGAAATAAAATGATGCGATATGATGCTAAAAGTTTGAAATACAAACACCTTTTCAAAAGCTGTTTCATTCCATCATGTTTTACAATGAACAAAGGTACAAGTTTTTACAAAAAATATAGCAAAAAAAAAACTGCCTAACAATGTGCAAAGTGCTACAAACTACTAGCAAAAAGAAAAATAAAGCAGGAAACGGCAGCATCAATGTCCTCGGGAGCGGGAATGAGAAGCACTCCTCATCCTCTTTTGCGGGATAGCCTCTGCACCATCATCATCATTTGGGTCAGAATCATCGTCCTCAGGATTCCCCTCAGCCTCGTCCCCACTCCCCGGACCAAAACCAGAGCCCTCCTCCTCGGCAGACGTCTCGGACTGACGATCTGTGGCCTCCTCCTCCTCCTCCTCCTCATCAGGCTCCGCCTCTACAACGTGAGCCTTGCGTCTGCGGACAGGCCCTCCTCGAGCTCCGCGAAAAGGCCTGGATGGCCTAGCTCCTCGGAAAGGCCTAGATGGCCCAGCTCCCTGAGAAGGCCCAGATGGCCCAGCTCCGTAAGAAGACCCAAATGGCCCAGCTCCCCAAGGGGACCCAGGTGGCCCGGCTCGCGGCGGAGCATATACCGGAGGTATTTGAAAATGAAAAGTTCAATACATCAGTTCAAATATGAAAATCAGATGCGAGTACAGTATACGAGTGGGGTGTGTGTCAGATATGCTCTACAATGCAGAAGAATGCTCAAAACCAGTGTGTCATCAGAAATATGATAAATACAAGAAAGATAAACGGTACCTGCGCACCCATAGTGGATAGATGTGTCTCTCTCCGAAGGACCATACCCTCAAGTGAGGCCATCACCCCGAGAATCTCGTCCACATACTCAACCGGAGGCTGCAGATACAAAGGCAAAACTATCAGTAAATGAATGAATGTCCAAGTACCCGACTGATAAATCAAAGCTATAAATCATACCGGTGGTGAATCAGGATCCCTGACATATCTATGGTCAGGAAGTGGAGGCTCTAGCGGAATCGGGTAAGGAGTCCCAAAACGCCATCCCGTCAACTCGGACGGCATGTCCGGCCATCCAGGATGAGGATAGGTCGGAGTAACCGGAGGAACCGGTCTACCCCCACCTCTAGATGCACCAGCCCCGCTGGCAGAAGGGGCGTCTGCAGCCCGAGCCCGAGCCTGGCCCGAGGATGACATACCGGCAGGCCTCATCATCGGGATACGAGCTCCCGTCAATGGAGGCATCAAATATATGTGACGGTAAGTGGCGTAGTCCTCCTCCTCAATATATAGTAAAGCATCACTACCCAGCATGGCGCCGACTACCTCCGAGTAAGAGAGCCTATCAGCAGTCCGCATACTGACTGGGGGTACTGTGGGAGGATCCTGAGAAAGATACCCCCATACCTGACACAGAAAGCGTTCCCCCAAAAACCATGCCCTGCCAACCGGCCCTTCGAGCAGGACCCTATACTGGGAGATGTCTGACCCTCCGGTATACTAAAGTCGGAGACCATCACCCAGGGGCGCCAAAGGCTGCCATGAGATGTGCGGATGATAAACGCATAAACCAATCAGAAATCGGGAATATACAGAGCAAATCAAAGATGAAAATGAAAGGAACTGAAAGTTCTGAAGTACCTCCGAATGTCGCACAGTGTCAAAGTACTGTCGCAGGTAAAGGAGAGTCTCTCGAGGTCTCGGCCGGTGCGGACCCTTGAACACTAGCGAATATGGGGTCATGGGAAACCCTGCCACCTCCAACTCTGGGGCTAATGCTGGAAAGTATACATAGACCCATAGCTGAGAAAAGCAGTGCAGAATGTAAGTACGAAATGCTGAGAGCAAAATACAGACTGTAAAAGTGTGCTGTGTGTGCATTGTACAAGTAATGAAAAGCAGAAATGTAAATCAAGGGGACAGAAAAGTACCTCCTAGGCTCTCCAATAGCCGCCAAGTAAATCGCCCCGCCCGCGGGAGGTCACGCTCATATAAAAGTAAAGGGTAGCCAGGCCGGCGCCACCCCAGTCATATCTACTGACCTGTGATAGGTCAACCAGAGCACTCAGCAGGTATAGCCCGACTGTGTTCCCCCTATCGGTGAACAGGGTAGTCCCGAAGAGGAACATAAGGAAACCACGGGCGTACTGCTCCGTCTCCTCAGGAGTCTCGGGCACCATCTCCGCCCGCCGGAAGTGGGAAGAGAACCAAGTGTATCGGACTCTCCCAGAAACCTTGTCAACAGGCGGGCGAGCCCCCAATAAATACATCCAGGCGGCCTCCCACTCGCCCATGTCCTCGTCATAGGGGATGGACCAACCTCCTATGTCCAGGCCGGTCAAAACAGCGAAGTCTAGAGGCGTCATGGTCATGTCTCCAGTGGCAGAGAAATGAAAGGAGTTGGTGGTGTCCCACCATCTCTCTACCAAGGCTGCCATCAGTGTCCTCCTGGCAGGACAACGTGACAACCCAACGCAGAAGGGCCCGAACCCTGCCAAGTCCACTAAATCTCGGACACCCTCCGGGAGCTCAGCGTACCAGTCCCGCGCGGCGGTGGAGCCATACCCCGCACACTGCGAGAACCAACCTGCATTCAGAATGAATACATGTGTCAGTATAAAATGAATGGGCTGTGTGCCAATGAAATGAATGGGCTGTGTGCCAATGAAATGAATGGGCTGTGTGCCAATGAAATGTATGGGCTGTGTGCCAATGAAATAAATGGGCTGTGTGCCAATGGAATGCATGAGCTGTGTGTTCAAAGTGTGATGTAAGTGGGCTGCGTGTTCACTATCTATCTGGGCTGCGTGTTCAGAAAATTTGAAGTTTGGGCTGCGTGTTCAACTTTCAGTTAAAATTGTGGGCTGCGTGTTCACTGTCTATCTGGGCTACGTGTTCAGAAAATTTGAAGTTTGGGTTGCGTGTTCAATTTTCAGTTAAAATTGTGGGCTGCATGTTCACTATCTATCTGGGCTGCGTGTTCAGAAAATTTAAAGTTTGGGCTGCGTGTTCAACTTTTAGTTAAATTGTGGGCTGCGTGTTCACTATCTATCTGGCCTGCGTGTTCAGAAAATTTAAAGTTTGGGCTGCGTGTTCAACTTTCAGTTAAATTGTGGGCTACGTGTTCACTATCTATCTAGGCTGCGTGTTCAGAAAATTTTAAGTTTGGGCTGCGTGTTCAACTTTCAGTTAAAATTGTGGGCTGCGTGTTCACTATCTATCTGGGCTGCGTGTTCAGAAAATTTGAAGTTTGGGCTGCGTGTTCAACTTTCAGTTAAAATCGTGGGCTGCGTGTTCACTATCTATCTGGGCTACGTGTTCAGAAAATTTCAAGTTTGGGCTGCGTGTTCAACTTTCAGTTAAAATCGTGGGCTGCGTGTTCACTATCTATCTGGGCTGCGTGTTCAGAAAATTTGAAGTTTGGGCTGCGTGTTCAACTTTCAGTTAAATTGTGGGCTGCGTGTTCACTATCTATCTGGGCTGCGTGTTCAGAAAATTTAAAGTTTGGGCTGTGTGTTCAACTTTCAATCAGTGTGGGCTGCGTGTTCACTATCTATGTGGGCTGCGTGTTCAGAAAATTTAAAGTTTGGGCTGCGTGTTCAACTTTCAGTTAAAGTATGGGCTGCGTGTTCACTACCTATCTGGGCTGCGTGTTTAGAAAATCGGAGTTTGGATTATGCGTTCTACTCTAAGTCAGTATGGGCTGTGTGCTCACTTTCGAATTCGGGCTGTGTGTTCGACAAATCAGTGTTTGAGCCGTGTGTTCATCTCTTAACTAACGTGTACTGTGCGTTCGCAATTAATTAATGAGCCGAGTGTTCAGAAATTCGAGTGTTTAAACTACATGTTCAGGATGCAAGCAAAGTACTATGTCATAAGCTAAACTGTGTGTTCAAGCATGGCAAAGGTGCGAAATGTACGAAAAATGCAGAAGACGAAGTGAATACCTCTCGGGCTTCATGAGAGAGGTGATGCTCTGGCTCTCGGAGAAGCAGATCCCCAGGTGCTCGCTCGTCAAAGCTAGTGAAGTGACGGAAAACGGCACGCGGAAGGACATGTGCCGGTGGAGCGTACCTCCCGGGAATAAAAGGTCGGGTCCTCGGGGGCAAAGTCATGGGATCAAAATCGTCTCCGGCACCTGGAGGACCTCCGCCGTGGGGAGAATTACCTGCCATCTTCGAAAGATCTGCAAAGAGAGCAAAAATGAGCGAAAATGAGCCAAAATTGGAAAAAGTCAACAAAAGTCAACTCTCGGGAAATGAAAAAGTCAACAAAAGTCAATCCCCGAGAAAAACTTCCAAATGTTGAGACAAACTCACCTCAAGTGGCGAAAACGAGAAAAGAAGCTCCGAAACCGAAATTTAATCGCTTCAAAGTGCTTGAAACTGAATGTTTTTGCGGAAACAACTTGCCTGGGGCGTTGGAAAACGCGTATGGAACTGTGATCTGGAGAAGAAAGTGATGTAGGAGGTGAGAAAGGAGAAAGTCTCGGCTGCCTTATATAGGCTCAAGGTCTTGGATGAAGAAGCATAAAGGAAGGAGGTGAAAGGGCCAAAATGCCCTCGGATCTGGGCACATGGCCGGCCGGCCACCTTTACTAGCCGGCCAGCCATTTCCTTTTTGGAAAACCGGCCGGCCAGCCTTTTACTTTATGGAGAACCGGCCGGTGACCTCCCCTTGGGAAGATAAACGGCCGGCCATGTCCCTCACAGGCTCACCTAGCTCCCTGCAAATTTTGAGGAAGATTGGAGTTCCCGGGACCTGAAAAATTCAAGAAAAGTACACTTCCGGTCGCGAAATTACTTCGTCGGAACTTCAGCTTCAAGATCTGACATGTGTCTCATCATCATTCATCGAAATCAAAGTGTATCCTTTTTGGATGAGTTGTCACCTTTCCGGGAAACGGATCGGAGGCCGTGATCGAGTCTCCTTCGTCGAAACACGCATTTCCGTACTCGTTATTTCATGACAAACGGGCACCCTGATTTATGCTCGTTTTTGCACTATCATGCACATAACTTGCATTCTCGTGAGCATACTTATATTTTTATGCACATTTCTCGATAATGGCACACCTCTATGCTTGAGCATGCGGTGTCACGCATTTTCCACTCTTGCATTGCGACGCATTCACTCACCGGCACTGCGTGTGTCAAACTTCCAAAATCACATTGAATATATATTGGTAGCATATTGTACTTGTTGCAATTTCTCTCTTTTGCAGGCACGATATTGTATGTACGGTTCAATTGAGGCTGGTGCGACCAGACGAATCGCGCAGGTATCGTATCTTCTCCGTGTGAGACGTGGCGGGGATTGAATAATCCTCCGCATTCTTAGCTGCATGAAATGTAGTTGTTGCTTTGCATTCTTGCTTAAAATTGTTGCATCTATTTGCGAATACTTGCCTCATTACAGCTTGCTGCATTTGCATGATCATTGAGTTATATTCGGCTTCTTGCATATCATTTCCATTTTGCCCCTACCTGCGGGCATGCCTGCGGGCACATCTCTGTTTGTCTTGTACGTTTGTCTAAGTCTTCGGCCTTGTCAAAAATGGGTCGTCTCTGGGCTTTGACATTCACTCCCGTCACTTGTGACTTCCGAGTTCTGTCAAAGAGTGGCAACTGTAGACACCCCATTTTTGACCGACCTTAAGACTCAGACGTCACTGATTGAGCGCTTGGTGATGTTGCATAATGTGCTCGTTCAGAAGTTTCAGAGTTGCGGCCGTGAGCCCTGCCTCCGGACTTCCGAACCCTCTTTTGTACCTTGCCTCGGTTTGCGAACCAGGCTCATTTTTCTCGGTTTCTTTTCCTAAGGGAAGGGAGAGGTCCAGTAGACCATCTCTCAATGTCCGTAGGCTACATTTCGTGGTCGTAGGCCATTTTGCCCATTTCGGAGTCCGGTTTTCGATTTTTCGGAATCGCAGGCCGTGTGCCTCGGTTCGGGACCGCCTAACCATCTCCGTTTGCTCTGATTTTTGGCATGCATCTTATTTTCTCCCTTTTGAGGGACACTGGGGTCTGAGAAACCCACTTCGTGGCTGAACACCACTTTCGGTGCTTAACAGCCCATTTTCGGGGCCCCGAACTACGTGTTTTGGTCCCCGAGCATTCGTTTTGTATCGGTTTTTGTTCATTTTTGGCAGGTACCTCTGTTTTATCACCAGGGAGGTCACTGAAAGGTGGGAGGCCAGTAATTGTTGCAGCAACCAGTTATATATCCTCCGACGCCCTCCGACGCCCGCTTTTCACACTTCCGGGCTAATGTTGAACACCTTGGGCCCACTTTCTTGAACTTTGAACCACATATTTGTGATGTACACACATGGGAGGACCCTAAAAGTTGGTGGCCGGCTAGTAATTTCACCTGACCCTTTTGAACCCCTTCTTCCGGGCTAATGTTGAACACCTTGGACCCATTTTCTTGAACTTTGAACCACAGGGTTGTGTTGTACACACATGGGAGGACACCATCATGTGGTTGCCGGCCACTAAATCAGCTTGACCCTTTTGACCCCTAGTCGGCCGGCTACCTGCAACAAAAATACCTGGCCGGCCGTAACCCTCACACTGTTCACTTTACAGCTGTAGGGTTTTATCCCCCAGAAAATATCAATATCCGGGGGATATTTTGTGGGGGAAAGTTGGCCTCCTTTTCCCCCACCTTTACACCCCCTTTTTGGCCCTTATAACCAGCTGGTGGCATCACATATAGGGGTTAGAAAATTTGTTCTTCAAGCCTCAAGATCCATATCTCCCTCCATCCTTCTCATTTTCCTAAAAAACC